GGAATAAAGCGTCCGATTTACACTCAAACGAGTTGAATACAACATTTTATTCTTCGAATTAGACTCAATAAGACTTAAACTTGCTTTAAATCTGTTAAAAATAATCTGACGTTTCGTATTGAGAAATGCCAAACAGTTGTCAAAACTTCCTTACACGAGAGAAAAACCGTAAATTTTGACAGTGTCGAAGAATAAAAAATCTTTATTCTTCGACATGTACATATTATGCGGGAGATAAATAAATATGGAAAAATACATTACTGCAACAATTGGAACCATAATAATAATTATAATAATTTATATAAATATACAGGCTGTTCCGTTTTTATTGTTACAAATTTAACCAGTTGATAGATAATTTAATTTTAAAATAAAAGTTTCCTATAAACATGTAACGAAAAAGTTTATATAACGGAGCTACAACCACTGAAAGGGGTGCATCTTTTAATGGATTTTTTCCAATATTTCAGAAACCATTGTAGATAAAATGACAAAATTTGGTACAACGAATAACCTTTATACACCTAAACGAATTCAACGATAAAATGACGAAATTTTCACTCAGGGGCGTGTTAAATTGAGGGGGTTTAGGGTAAAAAGTACTCTGTCTGTTGGTTCTTGCCACTTTCAGCCACACAATATGTAAATTTCATAGCTTTTCACAAAAAATAGGTCTTTTGCGTTTTTTTGATACAACAAAAACTCGTATTTCTACCAAAACATCAAAAAACAACGTGGAATATGACTTTTTTCTCCGATTTTTAACCCTAACTTCTAACTTATTTTTTGAGGAAAATGAGTCGATTTTCAAGTTTTAGTTTATTGAGTTTGATAAAACAGCCCATTGAGGTCTTTTCAAAAATACGAAAAATTAAGAAAATGACCTGTTTTTAGACCCATTTTATCTATTGAAACAATTTTTTATGGACACTACCCTATTTTTATGGCCTTTTAAAAAATGTGAGCCAGATTTTTGTGCTAAAAATATAGAAAATTACCTTGTTTTTTATGATTTCTTAAAAAATGTGAGCCAGACGTAACAACTGAATCTGTTGTTTTTGTTGAAAAAAAATGTATAGAAAATAGGAAATTAAAGTACCCCTCTATACAGGGTGCGCCAGAACTCGCGCCCCAGAGAAAAATGTCATATAAGGTAAGATACCAGCAACATGGAAAAAATATTAAAAAAAATTTATCTATAAAAATTTCGAAGTTATGAGGGTTTAAAGTTTGCTTTTTGACTTTATTTATTTCTGTTGGAAAAATAATTTTACAAGTTTTTTTGCTATAGGCTATTAAAAGAGGAAACAAAGAAGCTGTATCCTAAATTGTAACTCTGTTTAATGTTATTTGTGGCTTTTATTGGCAAAATTTTTGTGCCTTTACTAAATAATTGTAAAAAAACATATACAAGATCATCAGTATCATTAAATAGACATAAAAAAATGTCAAATGTCAAAAAATAAATGTCAAAATTTTTTGACAGATAGAATTTTTTAAACATTTTTTTCATGTTCCTGGTATCTTACCTTACTTGAAAATTTTCTCTGGGGCGCGAGTTCTGGCGCACCCTGTATATCGAGCGATCAAGATAATTTGTAATCGAGTCATCCTTGGATCCGAAAACGTATGTCTGTAAAATGTCAAGTAAAATGAGAAGTCGAAAGGTAAAAATGGCATGATCAAAAAGGTGATGATTGTAATAACTAATTTTATGATTTTTTTACCTTCAAAAAAGAACGGTCCAACTCGTCGTTTACTTTTCGACTTGTCATTTTATTTGACGTTTCACATGCAGTTAGTTCAAAAACAGACATACGTTCTCGGATTCAAAGATGACTCGATTACAAATTATCTTGATCGCTCGATACATATGTATATTTAGGTATGTATTAAAAAAGTTAAAAGTTAACGGCATTTTTTAATTCAATTTACATACATACTCGTATTTTCCACTTATTTAAAAAAAAATAAAAAAATTAAAAATCCTTATACATATCTGTGAATCTTAATGTGGGGGACTACTCATTAGGTACATTTTCCGCCCCCTCAACAATTAGTGTTACTACCAGAGGTATTATCATCAAAACTTATAATGTTGTCTCGAAGAAAATACAATAGTTCGTCATTAGAGTTGTAGAAAAAAATTGCACTACGATCTCCACCAAAACATTTTGCAACTGCGGCTGAGCCCCCTTTTGGTATTTAACTGTATACCTCGACATTTTGATTTTCAATAACTTTGCTTTCTTTCGTTCACGTGCAAACTGACGAAAATTCGTTATCAGTTTCTTCATATCCATTTTATCACTTATTAGAGCTTTTTTTTTTCGAAGTAAACTTGACATTTTAATGAGAATTTTGATTTCTGGCAATTTAACGAAAAAAACTGCTTCTGAATTTCTGGCAGTTTTTTGAATTAAATTGCCTAAAGGAAACAAAAGTCGAATTACTCCAAAGGTTCACGAGGGATTTAAAGATCCCGGAGTCAAAGGCGAAGTCAAAGAGGGTCCTCGACTGTGAAGAAATCAGCCCAGCGTCGAGAACATCCTTTTGTGATCTGACTTTTTTATGAGTTTCATTTTAAACAATTTATCAAGTATTTCTACGCATTCATTATACAGGGTTATTCATAAATATGAAGCAATATTTGAACCTCAAACATGACCTATAAGATGATGGTAATTTAAATAATAACTCGTGTCCTACCTCTACTGATAAGAATTTTACAGCCCTCGGAATGTGGGTATGGAAATTTGATTTTTTTGTAATAACTTTGGAACTATTTGACCAAATATTATAAAATTTGGAACATTTTCCTGTGACAACATACCCTTTAAACTGGTAATCACGAAAACTGGATACATCCACTCAATTTCCGGTTCCAGCAGTTGCAGGTCACATTTTCTGTGTTTTTCCATTTTTTTGTTTTCTTAACACCAATTTTTTATTGCCCAAATCGATAGAGTAATCAATTTCGATTAAAATACGCATAACTTTTAATACCCCTAAAATGGACCGTTTCAAAGATATTTTAATTTAAACTGAGTACTGCACAACGCTGAAAGCAAAAAGTATGAATTTTGAATGAGTGATATCCACGGTAACAAATGACCTCTCACTAATCGCTGTCAGGCATCTGTCAACTTTAACATTGGACGATTATTAGACAATTAATCGAAAATATTTAATAAAAGAGTTTACCTCAGATTCCAAACATAACTTAGAATAAATCCAAATGGATCTCGTTGCATTTATTCATAAAAAATTCACAAAAATTTATTGTCAAAGTTAACAGATGCTTGGCAGGGATTTATGTGACCATGGTCATTGGTTGCCGTGGATACCACTTATTCAAAATTCATATTTTTTGATTTCAGCGTTGTGCAGTCCTCAGTTTAAATTAAAATATCTTCGAAACGGTCCATTTTAGGATTAATATTAAAGGTTATGCGTTTTTTAATCGAAATTGATTACTCTATCGATTTGGGCAATAAAAAATTGGTGTTCAGAGAGCAAAAAAATGGAAAAACACAGAAAATGTGACCTGCAACTGCTGGAACCGGAAATTGAGTGGATTTATCCGGTTTTCGTGATTACCAGTTTAAAGGGTATGTTGTCACAGGAAAATGTTCCAAATTTTATAATATTTGGTCAAATAGTTCCAAAGTTATTACAAAAAAATCAAATTTCCATACCCACATTCCGAGGGCTGTAAAATTCTTATCAGTAGAGGTAGGACACGAGTTATTATTTAAATTAACATCATTTTATAGGTCATTTTTGAGGTTCAAATATTGCTTCATATTTATGAATAACCCTGTATACTTCAATTGAATCATTTCCAGCATTTAATAGATCAAGACGTCTACCATTTCATTCGGATCCGAAAAAATACCGCTTTCTGTTTGCTGTCTGCAACTATCCTTTTCATAGAAAGGAATTTTTAATATCTTCTAAACCATTTTTATATTTTTACACATATTGCAAATTGTCATGTTTTTGTTGTTCTTGTGATTTCTTTGCGTTTGTAATGCGTGCATTTAATGATTTTAATTTAGTTGGTATCGTTGTATCAATTTTTGCATTTCTTATGTCTAATGATAATAAATGGGAAGGCTTTTCAAGTAATTAAGAAGTATTTTGATGATCGTCACAAAGCGCCTCTTCTTTCTCTTGTTATGGGATTGCATATAGATTCTGAAAAGAAATCATCTGTGCTGTGCCTCCGAAAGAAGAATATTACTGATGTTCTAGACGATTCGGAAGTTGAGGCAAACATACCGCTAGAAAATCGCATTGAGACAGCTGTTATTTCTAAGGGTGAGCTTTTAATTGACACTTTTTTGGAAAAACCAATCAGTGTCTTGTAACATGTATTATATATCTAATCCAAGGCAGAGGGAACTGAAATACAATTGTGGCTTAGTTTTTTGTTTCAATTCAAAGTATTTTTAAGTTCTGCGGCAAGTTGATTTCAGTTTCGATTACCTAAATCTGTTCAATTTCGGTTTTGGTTATTCATGACTTACAGTAATATCAAAGAATAAAGACCTGTCCTGTTAATTCAGTACAGATTTTTGGGGTACATAAAAATTTGTGATTTTTTAAGGATTTTAGGTCTTTTTCGCTTGTTTACTTTTGGTAAAACAGATAAATTTGTAGGATTCTACCTTGTTTTTTGAGGCCCCCAAATATCCTGCTTCAAAAATAAAAAACCATTTTGGGTTGTTGGACACCTTGTACGTTATGATTAGTTAATTTATTTTCTTTTAATTTATTTGGTTGGTTTTGTTTTTGTTATATTTAGGTATCAAGGACATCAATTTCTTTTAGTTAGTTATTCCACGGATGTACCCATGTATGGATTCGTCCTCCATTTGGATCGAAACCGGTTCTTGATGTCGTTAATGTCCATTTTTTTTTTTTTTCATAATTTAAGTGAGTACGAAGTATTTTAATTAATAAATTGTATAATTTTGAATTTAGCGCTTTTTATTGACTCATTTGACAATGACAATTGACATAACCTCACTTGTTTGCGAAAATGTCGATTTACTTCAGTGGAAGTTTTTCCCGGTCTGCGGGTGTTATTAGTGCAATAGTAAAACAATTAAAATCCGTGAATTTAAAACCTGTGAAAAAGATTCAAGTCCAATTCGACCCCTTTCACCCAAATGCTGTCACGGCGAGGTAAATATAACCTCACTTTTTCTTACAAAGCCTATTTTTAGCTGAAGCGCAAGCGTTCTTTCAATCAATACATTCTAGAGACTTCCTTTTCCATATATCAACCCCAAAAGTGATCGAAACCAACTTAAATTGTGTCATTAGACCAAACGTTGTTTGCGACAGGAGTGAGCCTGAGATTAAAATTGATTTAGTCGATTCAGGGTGAATGTCACTAATTTCGCCTCCTCGAAACCTAATTTAGACTGTTCCAGGAGCGTTACGTTTCGTGCAAACAATTTAACAGTTTTGGAAATACTGCAGCAGTTTAACAAACACATTAGTAGTAAAGTGAAAGAGGAAGAAGTTAAGCCATCGCCAGTGACTAAATCAGAGAAAAAGAAGAAGTGGTAACATGGGCATGAAAGTGAATCATAAAAATTATCAATTGAAATTAATAGATCATGTCTATAATCAAATTCCAGCATTCACAGATATTTTCACTGAAGAAACGTTTTACATGACTGTGGTGGCCATTGTCATAAGCACCATAGTGGTAGTGTTCATTGTTTCACGCTTTGTTACCCTTAAACCTGTAGAGTAATCCGTAATAAATGTTTTTATTAAAATTAAAGTTTTGTCTCTTATCTTTCTCAGGTTGGTACTTTTAGTTAATTAGAAATTACCAACGTTAATTATCATCTGCTCAGGAATTGAAAAATTAATTATTTGCAATGAAATAGAGTGGAGGAAGACAGCAAGGTATAAAGCGGCTTGCACTCGTGTGTTTTTAAATTTTTTATCTGGACAAATATTTCTCTACCAACCTCTAAGTCCAAAACTTACTACATTCAAATCTGAAATTCACAAGAAAATTTTAAAAGTTTTGTAAGACAAGAAAATTGGTAGCACTGTGTAATTTAATTTAATTAATACTATAATATTTTAATTATATTTGTTTAAATAATGTTTAGTTTTGTCGTTTGCAGCATGAAATGTCATTTTAATTTCTAACCTATAAAGTTCAGTTTTGGGGGGAAGACGAATAGTTTTTCATTTTATTTATTGTGCCAATTTTGAGGTATTATGGAGGTAATGGAAGTCGAAGAAGTCCCACAAGCAGGTCCCTCAACGGAGTCTAGCCAGATTCCGTTAAAAAAAACAGATAACCTTCCTTGGTAACTTACGTTCATTTCTAACTCCAATATTTATAATTTTCTTTCAGGATTGAGAAATATCGTCCTCAGACTTTTCAGGAAATAGTCGGTAATGAAGACACCACAACCCGCCTTTCAGTAATCGCCAAACAGGGCAATCTCCCCAACTTGATCATAGCCGTAATTACCACTCATTCCTCTTACCAATTCTTAATGAAATCTTTTAGGGCCCCCCTGGAGTGGGTAAAACCACGACAATTCTTTGTTTAGCTCGAATTCTCCTAGGCCCAGCGTTCAAAGACGCCGTTTTGGAACTGAACGCTTCCAACGATCGAGGCATAGACGTCGTCCGAAACAAAATAAAAATGTTTGCTCAACAAAAAGTCACCCTCCCGGTTGGTCGCCACAAAATCATCATCCTCGACGAAGTCGACAGCATGACCGAAGGGGCCCAACAAGCCCTCAGACGCACGATGGAAATCTACAGCAATACAACGCGATTCGCTTTGGCTTGCAACTACAGCGAAAAAGTCATAGAGGCGATTCAGTCGCGGTGCGCCATCCTGCGGTACTCGCGCCTAACAGATGCCCAAGTCTTGGCCCGGGTGATACAAGTGTGCCAACAGGAAAACGTTGAGTACACGCAGGATGGCCTAGAGGCGATTGTATTCACAGCTCAGGGAGACATGAGACAAGCTTTGAACAATTTACAGTCGACTTTCAACGGTTTCGGGGTTGTTAATTCCCCAAATGTGTTGAAAGTCTGCGATGAGCCCCATCCAATGTTAATCAAAGATATGCTCAACAGTTGTGTTAATGCCGACGTCAGAAAGGCCTATAAGGTTTTGGATTTGTGGTGGAATTTAGAGGATTTTATTGCTTTTTTGTTGTAGATCATCGACCATTTGTGGAGTTTGGGGTACGCAGCTGAGGATATTATTAAAAACATTTTCAAAGTTTGTAAAACTATAGACATGGAAGAGACTTTGAAACTTGCGTTTATTAAACAAATTGCGATTACGCACACGAGGGTTGTTGATGGTTTATGCTCCTTGGTGCAAATGTCGGGGCTCATTTCCAGGTTGTGCATGGAGGCAAAGGGTCTCAAAAACGAATGAGTATAATTATAATTGCAACTTTTTTACTGGTCCTATTTAATTATATTATCTTTTAAATTAAATGCCACTTTGTTTCTTTCTCACCATTAAAAACAAGAATTATTTACAACATAAATAACATTACATGAATACACATAAGAGTTAATCACTATTTTCTGAAATTTTTGTATTCTTAAATCACGACATCTAGACAAATTTACGACTTCTGTGCTAATTTGTCGGCGAAAATATAGACTAGATTTACGACATGTAATTGAGACAAAATTAATCATCGCTGTCACCCTCATTGTGAACTTGCTGCGCTTTGAGCCCCTCTTGAAGTTGCAAAACGTGCTCAATGGGGTGTGGCCTTCCATCCTCCCCCACTCGACATGGTTGTATGGTCCCAGATCTGGTCAAACTGTCCATTAATTCGACCAATTTCATCGCCTCATATTCTTTCTGTAATTATAAATATCATTGTAAACCAAGTTTTATCGACTTTAAGAAATAAGTTTTTTTTCAATTTTGGTTTATTTACATGCTTACATTCACATAAATACTCATTAGTAACTACATATTTGTTTAAAATTAATAAACGAAATTGTTTTTTCAAAAACAGTAAGTACAGCGTAAAATTCATTTTCTTATTAGTTATTAGCTTATATCTGTTTTGGATTAAATCTGGTCGTTTTTTTTTAGAACTGAAATAATTGAAGTTTACAAAGTTGCTTCCCCAATTGTAAAAAAAAAATATAATTTAACGTCGCAGGAACATGTTTCGGCAATAAATGGTCGTCAGTTTAGACTGATTTAAATTTAAATTTGAATTGAATTTAGAGCATTTCACCAAAATTATTAAAATTTCATTTGGAACCAAATTAGAGGTATCCAAAAGTACACACAAAAAGTACAAACAATAAAAAAAAAACGTATACAAGATCTTCGGTAACATTATTCTGTTATAAATACAGGGTGATCATTTAGGACTGTTTAAGTTGGCAACAGATTTGAAAGTATTTTTGTTAATAGTTTGTAACACTGCAACCGAATACTGTTTTGCTTGACAAATACTTGACGTACAACATCTCAAGATTGTTAAAGACTCCAATGGTATCCTTAAAATAGGGAAGAATGCCAACATATTCATTCATTCTTGATCACTTTGTAGATACAAAAAAAATCTTCCCTAAAAATTGTTTTTTCAAATAAATGTGTACCCCAGGTAGCAAAAAATAATTAAAAATAACAACGTAATCAACATAGGGTAGCAAACATAAAGATTTTTGTCATTATTGATGAGATTAAATTTGGTCTTAATGACATTAATGACACTATTTATGTGAATTGGCCTTTAAATTAAATGCATTTAGACATCTACAACATACTTGATCCACATTAACATGAAATGTTTTTCTATACTGTGGTATAGGATTTCTTAAACATTTTTCGTGTTCCTGGTTCTTATCTTACTCCTTAACCAAACGGGGACACCCTATATGTCATATTATTAATTAATCGCTTTTGTATTGAAAACTGTTTGAAATTATATTTATTTTAATTAGGAAATTTAATTTGTAAAAAAAATCTGGGACTATAAGTTTTTCATTATGTTTTAGAGACTTAAGACGTCTTAAACTGCCTTTTAAGTTAAATAATATGTGTGGAGAGCAAGTCATTTTTTGTCCAGTAAAACATTACCTGTTCTTCGGTCATATTTTCCATCGCATTGGGGTGGGGTTCCTCGTAGCACCCAATCACTGGATTGATCCCATGTTTGAACTCCGCATACTCTTCAGTCTCGCTCCCTTCACTGCCTGAACTATAGTCAGCCTCGCCTTTATCTGACCGCCCCCCTAGTAAACCCCTTTGGGCAAAAAGACCAGCAGCGTTACCATACCCCGTATACTTGATCATCCTTTTGACTAAAACAAGACATTTGAAACTTGAACTAAATTATTCTACGATCCCTATTACCGCTTTTCTTGCACAAAATGAACAACAAATCGGCTATTAAATCCCTGAGTTGGGTTATAGGAGTGGTTAGGAGGCGGCACAAGTGATTACGAAGTGTGGAACCTTGCTCGGGTCTATTGTGGACGTCTTTCAAAGGTGGGAGAATTTGGAGTCGGAGGTATTTTCTTATAGCTCGTTCGCTGTTGGCACCTTTTAACAAAACGGTGACCACAGGACATAAAACTTCGTACTGTTTTGTGACCCCCTGTAAAATTACAAATGAATAAGAAACTGGTTTGATTTCTCTCAATACTTACCTCAACATTGTTAAATTTACTCTTCAAAACCATCAGAATTTCGTAAAAAGCCGTCATATTTTGTCCCTCGAATTGGAATTTGGGTTTCAGGTTTTGGCCCGGCTGAATTGGAGTTATCAGATTTTTGAATGTGTCATTAGGCATGTTTGTTAATAAATTTATAACATTGTTTTTCAACGCAAGGCCTTTCTCTTTGTCGTTTGTGGGCACAAGGAGATACATTCTTAGTAGAGCGACTAAATGCTCACATTGTTCGTTCTCTTCTTTATCGTCATAAATGCCGTAGCTTAGCGTTATGTTAAACAGAGCTTTGAATATTTCACAAGCCAAGTCAACTTTTTGGTCCTAGAGTAAAAAACTGATTACAAATCTTACTAAATCATTAACTCACATCCAAAATGATTTTTTCGGGCGATGTTTGCGCCGCTTCTTTTAACATTTCATCAAGCATTTTTATCAACGATTCAATTCCTTTTAGCTCTTCTTTCACTTTCGAACGAATTTCAGAGCACAAAGCTGTGAGGAGGAAAATGAGTTTGACGTCGTAAAATCTGATTTCTTCCGGTATTTTGTTTTCTCGGGGGTTTCTTATACGTTGAGCTAACTGTTCAAGGATGCCATTCTTGCAACACAGTCCTGCTGCAACAGGGCTGTTGAATACCACATTGCATAGGCATTTTTCTACTTCAATTGCCAATGATAACTTGCTGGCATTAAATTTGTAGTTCAAATCATCCAAACCAGAGTGTTTTTGGATCAGTTTGAACCATTCTTCTGTTATCAACTCGTTCAGGCCCACTTTTTCTCGACTGAAATTCATTTGTGCTACGTTATCATATTATCAAAACGATAATGTCACCTTAATATACGAATTGCAATAAAGCAATTAGTTAATGTAATCTCCGTATTGGCTGTATTGGCTAATGTAAATAACGCTTCCCATAATTGTTTACGTTGGTTATTTGTGTTCAGTTCTGGGAACTCGAATATTTGTGAAGCCTTCAATTTAAGAGTATTATTTATATTAACTTTACTTGAATATTTACGCATACCTCTTCAACGAAACATTTTAAGGATTCTTCAGCTTCTTTTCCTCCTTTTATGATGTTTTTGATATGTTCATCCATTATTTATCTGCTGTTGGAGTTTTACAATTAGTGTTTGTACGTTGGATATAAATAAACATTTTACACATTATTTCTACAAACCTGAATATTTCGTTTCGATTTTTTATTAAATATTTACACTGTTTACACACACTCAAGATTGTCAAACTTGACAGTTAGGGACCAGCGTTGCCAACTGCGGCTCACCAAAATTCTCAAAGATCACCGAATTCAAAACAAAGACAAAAATCTGATACAACAGTGTCCAAAAAAAACTTTAATAAATTCTTATTTTTTTTAAATTAAACTAAAAAAATACTTAAAAAATAGCAAATAAAAAAATTAATATTTAATGTATTGCTACAAAAAATTTCTAATTTTAAGACATTCCTCAAATCTGTTTATTAATTTTCAAATAAAAATAAAAATCTGCAAAAACTGGTAAAAAAATTTCCAAGTTGGCAACACTATTACTGTTTGCGATTGCACTGCGCACTGTGAGCCAACGTAAACACCCTTGCCCATAATACCAACGTTTAGTAAAGAAAATTGTACATAATTACAGTGATCTGTACAAACTTTGCATAAAATCTACAATTTGTTAAAGTCTGCCCCACACAATGATTTCTATAATAAATTTTAGTAGGTCGCTGTAATCATATTAAAATCGGACCAAAAAACATTTTCTGAGTTCCTAGGGGTCTTCTCAAGGCTAGTAACAAAGTCAGCGCGCAAAATTTAAATCTAATAAAAAAAACACATTAGGGAATTTTGCGTCATTGGTAATACATAGCAGTGTTTGCTTCCAACGGCATTGCCACCAACATAAAAAACATAATATAACATACAAACAAACAAGTTCGTTATTAGCCTTGTTAAAGACGTAAAATAGAAAAAGTGCATAAAACGTTGACAAGTTAAAAAAAATAATGTTTAAAATGAATTTTTGAAAAAAAAGGGAAAGTAAAAAACCTTTGTAAAAAAGATGGGACGGGTTAAAATGTTCTACGACATAGTAGTTTCCCGTACCTTAAATTTAGGTCAAAAAATATAACAAATGAAACAATGATCGACTCTAAATTTCTGCGATTGATCTCGACATTTTGCAAAGTCCCAAAGTTTATTTAAAATACAGTTCCTGGAAACCAAGATACTGAAAATCCTAAAGTTTCACGCTTTTATTTACCTTGAAAAAGCTTCCATTTCATTAATGGTCATTTGATAATATAAAAAGGAAAGTTGGTTCAAGTGTGATAAAAGATGAGAGTAGAGATTGTAAACAAGAATAGGGAGGGAGAAAAGGAAGAAGGACATTAAGGTTGAGATAGGTTAGAAGGTTTATTGCTGCGATTACGAGGTATTCTACAAGAAAGATTGGAGAAGACATATTGTTGATGGAATTTTAAAGGACAAGGTTTATCGAATTCTATTTTGTGGTTGCAATTAGACAGTTGCACAATAAAATACTGCAATTTATCATTATGTTATTTCTGTTAAGTTACTTGAACGTTGAGGAGATTTATAACTCGGTGTGTGACTTTCAACTCGGGAGCGGTATTATTGTGCTTACTACGTTTTAAATTGAAAACAGTTTTTAACATTTTTACAGTAGGAAGAAGCAAAATTTAGAGTTAGAAAAGAAATTACTTCAGCTACATAAATCTTATTTGTAAAAGAAAAGTGAAATATTATTAAAGTCGCGGTCAATTTATAGTGGCCATTTAATTTATTCAAAGTTGGCAGCTCCTAACCTGTCACCTCTACTGTGTATGTTGTGTCTATGTTGGTAGCAGAAATAACTAAATTGTGTTAACAATTTTGACAGGTTGACAGGCGCTGTAGATTTAATATGCGATGAATTATAACCCGACTTTTTCAAGAACTGTCACTTTTGATAGATATGTCCCTAAAAAAAAACAATTGCCCGCGACTTTATGGTTATTTTTCCTTCCTAACATGACGATAAAATTGTGACGTTTGTTGTAGTCAATATTGCCAACTTAGTTTCAAAAACAGAGGCCACTTTACAATTTTAACACTAATAAAAGTTGTATCAAACAAAGTAGACATAACGTGACCTATTTTAAAAAGTTTAACACTCACGAAACGCTTGTTTGCAGTTACGAGCGAGAGAAAGAGATGAAATGTCATACACAACAAGAATAGCAATGTGTTAATTGATCATTAAAAGTTTCCTAATGATCACGTCAGTTAGTTGCCTTAATAATAATGCCCTGCCGGCCGGTTTTGCCCCCAGATTAGATATGAAACAGTAAAACCGTCGACTGAGCATTCGTTCATGAACAATTTTTTTCTCACTGACTTTCTGAAACAAGTAATTTTATTTGTGAGCTCTCGAGAGCTGTAAAACAGCGTTAAATAGACATTCTTTATTAATATTCAAAGTGTTTGTAACTTTGTAAAGTTATAAATTAGAAATAAGGTTTTAAGCTGTGCGGCCTGAATTAATACTAACATAAAATGAATATGTGGGGTGATTCTCCCGGCGCACAAAAACACCTCCTTCTTCCCTATTTAAAATTCATTCCATACAAAGTACTTAGCAACATAATTGAGAAACTTTAAATACAAAATGACGTTATTACCCATTTAGTTTGAGAGGTTTACTAATTGTGAAAGGATTGGCGCTATCCTCGCAAAAAGTTGGATCACGTTTTTAAATTTGAAATTTTCTCGCAAATTGGGAAACTGCCTGTTGGGATATAAGACTTTATTAAGACTATAAAGAATGTTGATTACAACAATGCACGAAGTAAGGATGAATATAAGTTTCTTAATGTGAAAACGCGGTCGTGGGGTTCGCAACCACACTGTAACTTGGAAATTTCACATATATTAAAATTTTCAACAAACAGATCTGATGCTAAATTAACATTCTTTGACTCCTATTCACTCTACATGATTAAAATGCAACACTAATTTACAAACTCAAATAATATGCAGTTAGGGTGGAAGAGATTTTCCCTGAAATTATTTCCCAATTCTTTTACTATTTTCAGATTTTTCAGAATATGTCCACTTAGGTGCGATTTAAGTTTTCCGTTGTTCTCTGCTAAAATAAAAAAACAGGTCAAATTATGAAATTATAAATTCCTAATGTTTAGGGTTTCACCGAAATGTTTGACAAAAATTTTTCAATTCAGTAATTTTTTCGATGAAAAACGCTTAAAATTTTTCGAATATATTTTTTTTTAATTTAATATCGGATTTTAGGAATAATTATGCATTTTTCTGTCTTGTTTTGACGAAAAGTGTCGTATGAGATTATCTCAGTAAAAAACTTCTAAATCCATAGAAAATAACTGATTTTAGATCAAATTTTTGACATTACAATTTTTTTAAATGCAGTTACTTTTTTATTAACAAACGCTTTAAATTTGTAAATACAGGTGAATTTTTTTATACTTTTCTACTTTATTTTGACGAAATCTTTTGAATTTTATGAGTTTCTCGTTGAAAAACACTGAATTCAAAAAATAGATCAAATTTTCACATTTTTAAATAAAACATTGCATTTAATCTTTTGAAATTAACAATAATATTGCATTTAGTTCAAATAATTTTGCAATTTTCTATCTTATTTTAACGAAATATGTCGTATTGTGTCACTTTCCCAGTGAAAACTTTTAAATCCATGGAAAATAAGGCATTTTAGATCAAATTTCGTCATTTTATATTTTGTTTTGCATTTCTTAAATGTAAATATATAGTTTTTTGTTGGAAATCACTTTGAATTTATGAAAATAAGTAATAACAACACGTTTTCAGATCAAATTTTATACTTTTCTACTTTATTTTGACGAAATTTGTTGAATTTTATAAATGTTATGCGTTTTTTTTTATTAAAAAAACACTTATTAATAGAAAATAACACATTTTAGACTAAATTCAAAATTCTCGTGATAGCAATTTTTTAAATTTTGAATTTAATTTTGCGTTGAATAACGCTTTGTATTCATAAAAATAGATCAGAGTAACACATTTCCAGATTTAATTTTGCAATTTTTTATTTTAAATTTTGTGAGTTTCTTAATAAAAAAACGCATTATATCTTTCGAAGTAAACAAAAATATCGTTTTTCAGAAATAATTTTGCAATAATCAATATAAAATAACGCATTTTATATTAAATTTACACTTTTCTGATTTACTTTTATATATTCTTATTATATAATTATATATACAGGGTGTTCCGTCTAAATCCCACTTTAGAAGTATTGGGAGTTGCAATAATCGTATTTATTTGAAAATTGGTACATAGCCATAAACCATTAAGTCCTCCTAAATGAAAATATTTTCAAGATGGCGGCACTTCCGCTTATACCGGAAGTCGGTCTCAACATTCTTATTTTAAATAGAAAGGTATATTTTTTACTGCGTTTTTGGATTAATCTGGTTATTTTAAGGGAATTTTCATCAGCTTTCCCTATACCTAAATTTAGCCGTTTTTGAAATATTTGGAGTTTTTCAAAAATTTTTGTATTTGCACCTTCCACTTTAAAAACCGGTAACTCTGCTATTTTTTAATTTTTTTTAGCTTAGATCTTTCTTTCGGTGTTTTCAAATTTTGAAAAAAAAATTAACAAACCATAAAATTTTAAGGTTACTTTTGTAATAATTCAAATACCCATAACTCAATTTTTTCAAATGAAATATCCCAATTTTTATTATACTAAATGGAGGAGAATTTAATTCTGCATCGATCTGTATTAACATTCCCTATACCTAAATTTAATAATTTTTAAGTTATGGTGACTTTTTGTTGAGACTGCCGAAAATCTGTTATTAGCCACATTCGTTTTCGTATACTTTGCTATGGAAATAAAAAATGTCAAAATTGTTTCTCAATAAATGTCGACAGTGACTTATTATTTGACAAATAGTGCCAAAATATGGAGAGTCAAAGCTACTCAAACTTAGATTTAATTAATTTATTTTGTATTTATGGAGAGTGTAACAAAATTACGATATCGTTCATTAAACAAAAATAAACTTTTCTCACTTGTTAGCTTTAAATAATGATTGCATGGTAGAACCTATCAATAATAATTAAGTTTGTATAACTTTGATTCTCCATATTTTGGCACTATTTGGCAAATAATAAGTCACTGTCGACATTTATTGAGAAACAATTTTGACATTTTTTATTTCCATAGCAAAGTATACGAAAACGAATGTGGCTAATAACAGATTTTCGGCAGTCTCAACAAAAAGTCACCATAACTTAAAAATTATTAAATTTAGGTATAGGGAATGTTAATACAGATCGATGCAGAATTAAATTCTC